TTCTGTTGTTCACTTTGTGTCCTGTGTGCCGAACATAGTTTGCTATTTCTTTATGTGGTGTATAATTGGTTTGTTAAAAATTTGACCTATTAAATGATATAATGTGGAAATTCTGGAAATCAAGAACCACCCTGAGGTGGTAGTTATTACTGTTGTAGGTCTGTTATTATTACTGTTGTAGTTTGTGTTGCCTCTTGTTTGGTGACTTTCTGGGACGGATTCTGTAAAATTTCTGTTCTCCATCACGTGCAGCGACTGGATGTTCTGCTGTTAGTACCGTGTTCAGCTCAGGTTCAGACAGAGGGTTCCTTAAATGCCTTGAAACCAGTAAGGCTCTCGCGGCTCTGCCTATGAGGCAGGTTACGTCTTGGACACGCTAGCAGGTAGTTCACAATTCTTAGATTTAAATTTGCTGCTCATGCAGAGACTCAAGGTCAGCCAGAATGAGAGATTAAGGCCTTCTCAGATCCTTCCTGGCCATGCACAGAGTCCTTTCATGTGCTTGGCCTTTTAGATTCCCAGAGATGTGTCAGAGCCATTGGAAGCTTCCATGGACTTCTCCTTCCCCAGTTTTCCCTTGTAATCCTCTTGTTAGCAACTTGAGGATACCAACTGGTATCCTCACCCTGGTTACCACAGTGTTGCACAATTGTTACCCGTTTTTTTTTTTTTTTTTTTTTTTTTCAACAAATACCCACTTTTTTCACACAGACTCCACTTTGAGTCAGATCAAATAAAGACCAGCCCTGAAAATGGGGCTTTTCGGTGAACTGCCAGACAGGTCAAATGGTGACAGCTGTCTGGGCACGGGCCTTTGAGGTGCTCCAAACCCATCCTGCCCCCTCCAGTGGTTCCTTGGCACTTGGTTTTATCAGCTCCGTGGTTGCGAGGCTGCTGCTTTTTAAGGAGACTGCAGAGCTGGGGAGAAGCGAATGGGACTAGGGTAAGTGAAATGCCACAGAGCTTGCCGTTCTTACTGAGATCCAGCTCTTTTATTTTTTTTCCACCTTAAACAAGTGCTCAGATTGTGGCAAGACATTGATTACTTTTCAGAGTTCTGGAAATAAGGATTTTGACAACTCTTGTTAGTTTTCTAGATGCTTTTGTGGAAGAGTGGCTTTTTGGAGGTCCTTACTTTGCCATTTCAGAATTTTCTCTGCACAGGTGATATTTCTAGAACTAGAAGGGACCTTAATGTACAGTCTTTGAATGTGCGGTTAGGGCACAGAGAGCCCAGAGACTTGCTACTTAGCCACAGGAAATGTCTGACACTGGACCGTTGGTGCTCCTGCTCTGCCTCAGTCCCTCAGCTGCTCTCCCCCATCCTATAAGTCCAACAAACATTTACTGAGCATCGACTCTGCACCAAAACTGTTAGGGATGGAGCCTGGGTGAGCAAGGCACAGCTGCCTCCAAAAACCTCAGTGTAACTGGGAGATTATTTGGATAAAGGAAATGAAAACTTTTGAATAAAATCCTCGGAGAATGGAGGAGGGAGCAACCAACTGGCTGAGAGTCAAGAAAAATGTCACTGAAGAGTTGACATTTAGACTGGGTCTGTCCTGTGTCATGAGATACTTCTTACAGAAAAAAGAAGCATCTATAAACACATGATGATGACAAAGGACCTAGTCTGTCTAGGAGATTGAGAGGAGCTCACTTGTTTGGCAGAAACATTAAAAGATGTGACTGATGAAGCGAGCAGGTTTCAGATCACAAAAATTATCATACACCCGGCCAAGGAGCAGGCCCACACATACGAGCCCTGCACAGTCCAAACGCAGAGGCGCCATTCCCCTAGACGGCCCGCGAAGGCCCCCAGGGGTTGCACAGTGTGGGCAGCCCATCAGAGGATTTATAATGATCTTGTAGTTAATAGGGAGAATCTATTGCTCTGTGATCCAGCGAGGAAAAGATCAAATTGTCTAGAAGAAAAACTGTATAAATCACAAGTTTTTGCCTGAAACGAATGTAACAGCATTACAACTACAATTTAATCTATTACATGCCAAGTGTACTGTGACTTTATTATATATAATATAAATGTATATGTTTAATATGTATTAAAGTAGCATTTTATATATAGTATATATATTATATGTATATACACGTGTATATATAGAGACCCACATGCATATTTGGTATTCACAGTAACTACAAACACAAATATATATGGTCCTCTCAATGAAAATGCTGATGTATCAGACAGTTGAGGATAACTTATGCTGCATAACCCAAAATCCCCAAATCTTAGTGGCTCACAACAAAATAGGTTTGTTTTATTGCATGTCTACCATGAACCAGTTGGGACTCTGCATTATGTCTTTGTCACCTGGATGTAAGCTGACAGACCTTTATCTGGGACATTGCTGATCTCATGGCAGAGAAAAAAGAAACATGTTGAACTTGTGGAACTTCTATTTTATTGAGCATGTGACATGGCCATTCTTGGATGTATCAAGGCAATTATCCATAACTGTCCCATGGAGCCAAGAACCACAAGGAGAGACAACCCAGAGAGGGATAGTGGCCCTTTTGATCAGTTTCATAATTTACCAAAGTAGGTATTATTTAATTCTATTTTGCAGATTGGGATATGAGTTGAAGAAAGTAAAGTAGCCTGTTTAATTCACAGGCAGAAGTTAATAAATGGTAAAACCTTGAACTGAATTTAGGCATGGCCCGCAGTCCACCCCCTTGAATCTTTAATGTTGTTTTATGTACCTCAGAGCCTTGTGATATCTTTGGGCCTTTGATGTATTTGGACTAAGAGAGACCTCTGTTCTGACCCTGACTGTTGCAACAGGAATCATCAACGATTCCATGCCAGCCCCTGAAAGTGGCCCTTTGCATTCAACCCTTTATTCTTGCTTAATTTCTTCTCTGCTTCAAAAGCAGAGGGAAAAGTTCTTAGCTTTTCAGAGCAGAACACACAGCTGATGGTGAATGCACAAAAACACAGTGTGACCCAGATAGTACAAAATACCCATCCAGGGGCATCAGCCTATTCTTAAGAAATAAGCATGCGGAAAAGGAATAGGTGGCTCCATTCCAGAAAGCCACCTGGGAAATGGAACAGACACAGCGAGGTAAGAACAAGTCTGCACTCCTCCTACCTTGCTCCTGAAGGATTGTAACAGAAGTTAGCATGAGGACTGAGAAATAGGTCATTGGAATCAGGTGAAAAGGAGAGAGGGGTAGTGGCAGAGATCTGATTTGGAGTGATAGGTCCAATCTAGCACCTGCCCATAATGATTCTACCTTATTTTATTAATTCACTATTTTTGGAGTCCTATCATGTTCCAGGTACTGTTCTTGAATAAGACAGATACTGTTCCTGAATAAGACAGATACTGTTCCTGCCCTCAAGGAATATATTAGTCAGCTACTGCTGTGTAACGGTGCATCTGAAAACACAGTGGCTTAAAACAATAACCATTTAACTCCTAAAGCTCTGGGTGGCAGTTTAGGCTGGGTTCGGCTGGGCACTTCTTTTTTTATTTTTTATTTTTTTAAAGACTCCACTTATCTACCTGACAGACAGAGATCACAAGTCGGCAGAGAGGCAGGCAGAGAGGGAGGAAGGGAAGCAGGCTCCCTGCCCAGCAGAGAGCCCGACGCGGGGCTCGATCCCTGGACCCTGAGACCATGACCTGAGCCAAAGGCAGAGGCCTCAACCCACTGAGCCACCCAGGCGCCCCAGGCCAGGCACTTCTTGTCTCAGCTGGGATCACTCATGCGTCTGGCATTCAGCTGCTAGATATGCTTGGGTCCAGCTCATCTCGGATGGTCTCAGCAGAGCTCTGGTGGTCGGCCAGCTGTCAGCTAGGGATGCAACAGCAATGACTGGACTGTGTTTCTCATCCTCCATCGGGTTACATGGGCCTGTTTAAATGGTGGTGGCAGAGTTCCAGAGGAGCAGGCAGAAGCGCACAAGGCCTCCACCTTAGGGAAAAAGACCTCCCATACGGTTTAGTCCAGTTTGGCAGGTGTTTTTGTGTTTGTTTGTATTGGAATTTGACGTCAAATTCCATGGACCATCAGTGTTACCTGACCTTCAATTTTCTGGCCATTGTCTCCCCTCAGCAACTACATGCAGAAGGACTGAGCAGGATTCTGGCATTTCTGGTTCCCTACTATAAAATACTGTACCAGGGCTCTGTTGAGTTTAGGCTGGTAATATTTAACCATTCAGAAGCTGACCATCTGTTTGCCAGAAAAGTTCACACCCACCCCATAGTTAAATCCTTGAGGAAAGATGCCTGATAGAGGAATTGAGGCAAACAGATACTCTTAAGGATGGAAGATAAATTCCACATTGTTTCCCAAACATGTTCCCGGCATTTAATTGGTAGTGGTCACACTCTGCTTGGTCCTGATTCCAAAGCCAGTGTAGTATTCCCTTAAGTAAACCACAGAAACTGCTTCCTCATAGAAACGTGCATATAAATAGGGAGTACTAGCTGCCTGGCTGACTTCCCAGAGGGCCATTCTAGGGTGGGAGCGAGATAAAGCTTGGATCGTGCCAGCAAGTGTGACAGCGTTTGAGGTCAGCCTCTGGCGTCCCAGGGTCCAAATTCTAACTCTTATCAAACATTTGGCACCCCTGTGACCTCAGCCACCTCCACAGGCTAGAAGCAAATCCATGTCTAAAGAAGCAAGCAGGAAAAAGGCAGATTTCAGCTCTAATTTTTCTGATAAGCTGTATGGTTTCCAAATCACTCAAAGTCCATTCCTTTAGAGGAGGAATCGTTACCTGCTTTTCGTCTCCTGGGTGAAAAGGTTAATCATTCACAACATAACGGATCTGCTCAAGGCTCCATCAGAGAAAACAGCAAGGCTGGGATTCGGATTGTGCTTCCTCTGAGTTCAATTCCTATGACTGTCCCTTAGAGTCACATTCCATTTCATCACCTCCCTTCTGAGGAGGTGCCAGTGCCTTCAAGGACACCACACTTCCTGCTTTCTTTTCTCCTCTCCCTGCCTGACGACTTCAGACATCAGGACCGAGGGACTGCACAGAGTCGGTGGTTGACTGGGGAGATGGTGAGGCCCGTTCTGTACTTCAAGCTCAGCTTCTCATCGTTGGGGGCCCTGAAGGTAAATTTTTGCACAAGGGAGGTGAAGAAAATAAACAGCTCAGACTTGGCCAGCTGTTCTCCAAGGCATACCCGCTTTCCTGAAAGGCAAAAGCATAAGACAAGTCATCTTTCCATCTGGTGTGGGTGCCCACCTGGGACTGACATCTACTTCTTGCAAAACCCAAGCAGAAGAAGGGGCTGGTAGGCCCCAGAGCTTTATGTACAGAGGTTCATTTAATCTGACAACCATCCAGGCCAAAGTGTAAGTCTGGACTCAAAAACTCCCAGTGCTTTCAGGGGTCAGGCAGCTGCCCCACAGGGTGAAGGCACAGGGTATAGGACAAAAGAGGAGGGAGGCCTGGGTTGACCTCAAAAGTGGAACTGTTAGCTGAAAGGCTTTTCAAAAATCAGTCAGGAAACAACAACATTAGCAGACAGCAAAACAAAAAACTCTGTGTTGATTAATATTTTTCATTCCTTAAGACTGTAGAAAAGTCTAAGCCAATAAATTTCAGAGCAGAGTTTCTAAAATGCAAGATGTCTTTCCCTTATGTCATGTTTTCCTCCCTCATGACTGCGGATTTCATGGCCATGGATGGCCCTCTACATTGGAGTTTTCTCAGGCTCTTTCCTTGAATAGTCCTTAAACATAGCAGTCCTTCTCCAGTGGGGATTTTGCTTCTAACAGGGGGGTAGGGGGGCAGTCCTTGCCAAATCCCTTGGCCCACAGTTGGCACCATCTCACTCCTTGTTACATGAGGGAGGAACTGGAGGCAGAGGGAGATCCAATTCAACTCCTTGCGCCTTCTAGCCATGTGATTTGGGCATCAGGGGGAGCGTGTGTGTGTGTGTGTGTGTGTGTGTGTGTGTGTGTGTTTAAAATGGGAACCTTATTTTAGGGGCACCTGGGTGGTTCAGTCAGTTAAGTGTCTGACTCCTGATTTCAGCTCAGATCATGATCTCAGGGTCATCAGATCAAGCCCAGTGTTGGGCTCCATGCTAGGCATGGAGCCTCCTTAAGATTCTCTCTCCCTCTGTCCTCTACTCCTTAAACAAAACAAAACAAAACAAACAAAACAAAACAAAACAAATAAACCCACACACTAAAAATGGGAACCTTATTTTACATGTTGTGTGGGCTACACACTGAATCCAAATAGACCAAAGAATTTAATAACTTACATTGAAAAACAAAGTAGCTTAACACATCACCTAGATAATAATAAACATTCTAGCTGTAAAATAGCTTAGCATTAACTTCCTCTCAAATTCTCCTTAAATTCTCTTCCTCCTTAAATTCTCAAAAAATGGAAGAATACAATTTAAAAGGCTACCTTTATTTTTTATTTTTTATTTTTTTAATATTATGTTAGTCACCATACAGTACATCATTAGTTTTTGATGGAGTGTTCCATGATTAATTATTTGCAAATAACACCCAGTAGTCCATGGTATATGTACCCTCCTTAATGCCCATCACAAGACTACCTTTCAAGAAAAACATTTTGGATGGTGGCATTACTAAAATAGTTTTCTGCTTATTACGGTTCTTTACTGTGATACTTTCCATAGCATGCCTTTTATTCTGAAACACTCTGGAAGTACAGAAAACTTGCAAGAATAATACAAAGAATTTGTTTCTTCTGAGTTATTTATTTGAAAGTGCCTTGTCTACATTACCTATGAAATCTTTAGTATGGATTTCCTAAAAGCGAGGACATTCTCCGACATAACTACAGTATAACCACCAATGCAGGCAAACATTGACACATTGCTACCATTTTGTCCCCAAGATCCCCAATCAGATTTTGCTATTTGTCCCAATAATGTCCTTTATTGGAAAAGGACCAGTTGAGTATCAACTGTTGCATTTGGCTGACATGCAAGTGACGACTCAGCTGCCATGTGTGACATTTTTTTTTCTTACTGAGCTTTTCATTTTAATTCCGTGCAGTATTATATTAGTTTCAGATGTACAGTATAGTGATTCAACAGTTCTACACATTGCTCAGTGCTCATCATGACAAGTTGCTCCTTAATCCCCATCACCTATTTGAGGCATCCCCCTACATCCCTCCCCTCTGGTAACCATGAATTCTCTATAGTTGAGTCTGTTTCTTGGTTTGTCTCTCTCGCTTTTTTTCCATTTCCTCATTTGTTTCTTAAATTCCACATATGAATGAAATCATATGGTATATGTCTTTCTCTGACTAACTTATTTCGCTTAGCATAATACTCTCTAATGCCATCCGTATTGTTGCAAATGGCAAGAGTCCATTCTTTTTTTTTTTATTCTTTTTTTTTTATTAAATTTTATTTTTTATAAACATATAATATATTTTTATCCCCAGGGGTACAGGTCTGTGAATCGCCAGGTTTACACACTTCACAGCACTCACCATAGCACATACCCTCCCCAATGTCCATAATCCCACCCCCCC